GTTATTAGGCATTTGCCCGCTGCGCTGAGCTATTACAGCCTGCTATTTAGGCAAGGGGTGTAAGCGTCGGCGCACGAGATGATGTGATAAGGGGCGTGCCGTTACTACGCTAACTAGATTTGGGCGGTTTCAGAATTTGAAAGTGTTGACGGGCAGCAGAAGCCTTTTAATTATTAACTATCATAACATTGTTTGCATCATGCCATCCATTAATCCCCCTAAAAAGCCTCTAGGCAGGCCAAGGAAATTTCCTACAACAGCAGCAGCAGCAGATGCCAGGAAGAAACGCGATCAACAACGATACCTGCGGCAACGCCATCCTCAGGGGCTCGCTGATTTTATTGCATATGAGCCCCAGATTCCCGCGGATGTACCTACTGAGACACCTACAGAAATCGGCCTCCGGACGACCGTTCAGGTTCCAATTTCTCAGGAGGACGAACCTCGACAAACTACCCAGCGACGAAATCTGCAAACGAACCGTCCACCGCCAGCTGCACATCCGATGACCGGCGAAGATGCCGAAGTCGCCAGACAGATTCAACAGATTCAAGCAGGCGAGAGGGAGGCAAATATTGAGCAGGATGAATATGAAATCGCGATTTCAGAACAATTAGATAAGATGGATAGAACAACCGCAGAGATTCTGCTTAAGATGCGGCTGGGCAGAGGAGCAGAGAAGGTTGTAGGGGCAGGCGATATGGTCGAGCCAACGACCAGAGAGGGTCCGGAGGTCGCCGGCAAAGCAGGCGAGGAAGGCAGGGAGAGCAATAACGAGTCACGACATTCTCGCTACCCGCCAGTTGCCTCTGTTAAAGAGACAATTGTGGGGGACAATAACAGTGTTTGCAACTCTTATGCTTCATCGAGGACATCAATAGGTACAAAGCACTCTACGGGTAGTAGGTCGCAGCAGACACCTGATGGGCGAAGCCTACAGTCCTTGCCGCGATCAAATCGAGGAAGCGGACAACGCAGAACTCGATTCCCGGCTCAGAGCAATACCCTCCTATCTTGGATACAACCTCCACCAGGAAGCCCATCCGCTAATAGTATCTTGTCTCAGCCAGTTGTGCCAAGATCTCTGAACACTGCCTTGCCTTTACCCATCCATACACCTGCACCCCGCCTTGCAGCCTCTGATCCCGCCCGATGTAAACCTAATACTGCATCCACGGCACCGCCCACGGCACCATCCACGGCACCATCCACGGCACCATCCATAGCTACCAACCTCCCTACATCTCCAGACCCGTCAGAACGAATTTTGTTTAAGCTAGCTAAGCAGCTTCGGCATTTCCAGGGCTGCACTCATGAAGAGCATAACAAGGAAGACAGACTGCACCAAGAGCACCATCAACGCCCTGATGTCCGTTCTGCATGCTCTTCCATCCGCCAAATCACTACTCTTCTTCGCGGGGAATGCGATGGGGGAACGCCTCTTCCAGACGTGCTTAGCAGCCCTAAATTCATGAATCCTTCAGACTTCCGCGGCATCAACTGCCAAGGCGCCTTTGAAGGGACGAGTACTACGGCCTTCCCTGATGACGTCGGGACCGGCGACGAGCGCCTGCCAAAAAACCTTTGCCTGTCGCAACACCACTCCCGCAGCAACAAGGACCGTTCTGCAAAGATAACATTCGACATCGACAGCGTCTGCTCATTCCCTAACAGCCTAGCTGTTGCTCGGCAAGGAATTAATTGGTTTCCACGATGCCATCCATTCCTAAACCTGGCCGCGGACATACATTTTGGCCTAAAAGTGCCTGCATACAACGACGGTGGGGAGCTAACCGAGAAGTATGTCCCTCTGCACAAAATCCCCCATTATTGCTTTGGCTCTGTCATTGGATTTGAGTCGCTTTTTATCTACATCTTCTTTCCTTCTCTCCATACGGAAAGCGACCACGAGCATACCACATACCTCAGCGACGAGACCCAGCAGCTCTGGTATGACGCGGTCCTTAGCCGTTCCTTGAAGAAGACGATCGGATGCTCGAATATCTTGCAGCACTACCCTGCTTCTGCCCACGTCGCCAACCTAGACTCGACTGCGAAGTCTGCAGAGAGCCTCTCCCAGAAAGTCTCTACAAGAGAGCAGCTTCTAAAGTATGCGCTGCAGCCCCAGCATCTGGACTTGCTCTGGAACTGCATTCTCGAGAGCATTGCAGAAAATCCCGGCCTCAGCCAATTCGAAGGCGCAACGCTCTTCATGCACGCAAAGAATACCAAACTAGAGCATATGGATGCCAGCCTGACTTCGGCATATGGACGCTGGAAAGAATGCTGGTCCGGGGTTACCGATCCACAATTCCACAGCAAGGGT